ACTCCATAAGACGCATCAAAAAGGTATCTACAAGGTCCAGTTCGGTGCCTAGTGTCAGCCAGCAGAGGCTCGTAAAAGGTAATGGAACAAATGGATTGTCCACATCGGCAACAATCAACTGCGGCATTCGCGGGTGACGAACATTGTAAAATTGTAGCGTAGATGCGTATGTAATGAAGGCCACACGGCACTGAGGATACTGTTGGGCCATCTCGTGCAGAGAATGCATCAAAGCATCCACGTAATCAGGAAGAAAACTGGAGACTGCTTTTTGAGATACGTCCAGCAGAAATAAATAGTGCAACGGTCTCGCCGGAATCGGTGCGTCCTTCTCATCACGGAGTGCGTAATCTGGGTAGGGACCAACATCATACTCCACGCTGCCTCGGCTCAACTCCGGTCTCTCCGCCCGATCCAACCGTTGGTTACGTGCATCCAAGTTACAAAAATATTCATTCTCCACCTCGTTCGCCATGTTACAGAAGGGGCACACCCAACACCGGCCCATATCCACAAAGCGTGCGTGGCATGAAATGTAAGCACGGCAACGAAAGCATCGCACAGGTGGCCGGCCTTCAACAAGGGGAACTTCCTCGCGTGGATACAGCGGCCGGCAAAGTGGGGCCAGAACGGCTCCAAAAAATATCTTACTGTCCTTAACAAGGCGCTCCTCGGCGGGAACAGAGTTTGTGGTGGGTCGGAAAAACTTTGGACTCGCATTTCCGTCATCAACGGCAAGAAATCCCGTGGCACTTAGCGGCAACTGACCTGAAGAAGTCTGAATCTCCTGATTACCTGGTTTTTGGGAAATGTCACGGCGTGGGTTTGGTGCACTTTTTAAATCCACGCTGCGTCTTGGCGGGGGACGAGCGCACCTTCCGACAACTGAGTTGCATTGCTCTTGTTGTCTGGGATAATTGCCAGAAGGAAACGCTCCCGTCTGCTGGCGCTGTTGCGCTTGGTAGGCATGCTGCTGTGTCGGAAGTTGCATACCACTAGCATCTGTCTGAGAATTCGCAAAGGGGATGGCTCCTGTCGAGGAAATTAACGAAGCAGATGCCGCGGCATTGTTCGTCGTCGTCGCATCAGTCGTAGTAGTAGTAGCATCCTGATGTGGGTACTGCTGCACCTGCTGTTGGGGAAGCTGTGGCTGTTGCGGATGCATCTGTGGTGCGGGTGGTGGTGGTGGCAGCGGCTGTTGTTGTTGTTGTTGTTGTGGATAGTTGGGTGTGGGATAGTAATTGCTATAGCTCTGCACACCGTTCGGTGTTGCAGATACGTAGGGATCATGATACTGGCCAGGCAATTGTACTCCGTTGTGCATGGCACCAGCCGGAGCAGCGGGCGGGGCACCGCCATGCTGCGGGTTTGTGTACTGTTGCCATGATGTGGGGGGAACTCCCGCCTGCTCCTGCTGGCCCTGTGGATAATAATAATAGTTCTGCTGCTGCTGATCCAACAGCTGCTGCTGCTGCTGTGCGCCGCCGTACGGATAGTACATGTATTCTACTTTTGTTTTTGTTGTTGGTGGTGGTGGTTTAGGAATAAAGAACGAAAAAAAAAAAAAAAGAGAGAGACAATAAAAAAGGATATGACGCATCTTGAGGCGCAGTGACGCACTCGTCCATCACACAGCAGGAAGAATGGGAGAATGGGAGGAGAGGAGGGGGTGAGAAGGGGCAAGGTCGTGTCCGCACACATCGCGATGGTCGTCCCCCCGTTGCTCATGTAAGTCCCACACAAAAACAAACAAACAAACAAACAAACAAACAGGGATATGGCCCTCACTTCGCCAGAAATGACCACCGATATAAAAGTGAGAGATCACATTTTCAAATAATAACAATAATAATAAACGATGAGAAGAAAAAGAAAAAAAAAAAAAAAGAAGAAGGAAGAGAGTGCAACCATAAATGTTACAGCCGCCATGCACGCCATTGACGCTGCTTTCAATTCCAATTGCATTCTCTTCCCTGTTTTGGCTGGGTGCTCTTTATATATTATTATTATTATTATTATTGTTTCCCTTTTTTTTTTTTCTGAAAAGGGGGAGGGGAAGTGTTACTGTTGGCCTCTTCCCACCTTCTTTCTCCCTTTTTGATTCCCTGTCATGGATGCCCCGGCCTCAGCCTCAGCCTCTCACACAAATATGCGTATATATACATATATACATATAATTCGCCATACAGAGAGAAAAAAAGAAGAAAAAAAAAAAAGAGAGAGAAAGAAAGAAGGGAAATGAGAAGAGAAAAAGAGCCGCAGTAGGGGGGGGAAAAGGGGGGTAAAATGGGAGAGGAACCATAAACAGTCATGTACGCATGCCAACCACACCTGATTTGACATTCATTCATTACTACTAATAAGACAAGAAGAAAATGTCATGTTGTTGTTGTTGTTTTGGTGCGCGGTTGGTCCCTCTCTGTTCATCTTTTTGTTGTTTTGTTTCGTTTCTTTTGCTCACTCCACAAACAAACAAAAAAAAAAAAAGAAACACACACACACACAGAGACACCCCCCCCCCTTTTTTTTATTGGTTTTGTCTCAAGTTTTCTTATTTACATCGCTTTTGTATTTTTGATTGTTGATGGACTGCCCTGGCGTTTATATTTGATGGGGGCATCCAATAGAAGCGTGTGGATTGGTTTACATGCTGGCAAGGCGCAGTGCGATGATTTCAAACACATTGTATGTAATGCCCTGCGACTCGCAACCTGCAAACCCCATCGGCGCCAAGGACGCCGCTGCGGATGCACCCTCCGACGTCGCACTACTCAACGGGAGGGGGTGTGACACGGATAACTCATGGCCATTTGCCGACGTTCTTGGGCTGCCTCTCCTTTCAAGCGACAGGGAGCGGGAACGCCGGCAGGAAGACGGCGGGGAATTGGAGGAAGAACAAGTCTCGGCGTGGGAGCGTACTGCCGCGGAGGCCACATAAGGACGCAGACCACGCAAAATGCTGGCATCATTCTCTTCGCCATCAAATAAAGCCACGTGCGCACGACAGAAGTGCAGCATTTGTTCAATTGTCATGTGGCCGCAGTTCTTCGTGTCGTAGGCCTGAAAAACCTCCTGTCGCCTCTGCTCACTGTAACAGGGCACCAGACCCCGCACATCTGGGAACATCTGCGTCGCGTTTTTAGAGCGTTGTGACGACGGTGTGCCCCTACCACGTCGCTGACTTTGTTGTTCTTGTTGTTGTTGGTTGCGGTTGTGGAGTGGCGCCAACGGCTCCGTGCACGCCCCGGTCCTGTGAGACACGTCGGATCCCCCGTGTCGAGGCAGCGAGTGAACACCACGCGTCCACGTCTCTGCGTGGTGTACACCATTAACACACGGCGGTCCTTCACGTCCCTCAGCGGCGCGTTGCGTCGCGGACTTTTCGACCGACTCCGGTGCCCCCCGTCGCAACACCCCGTTATTTCTGCCCCTTTCACGTTCGCCCGTTGCGTCCGCTGCCGCAGCCGCTATCTTTTCACGGTGGCGGGGAACTGCACTTGTGGGCCGACCATTTCGCCCATCTCGCTGTGGCTCGTAGAACTCCAACTTCACCAGAAACCGCACACAGAGATCCGACACGGTGAGTGGCAAACCGTTTGTCAACATCGGGCCGTGGCTGCGACATCCCTCCCAATGCATCTCGTGATCCCCCACTACCAATACAATAGGGTCAAACTCCACCTGTACATACAAGCGCGTTTTGGGGTCATTGTTGCTGCTGCCAGACCAAACTGCATGCATATGTGTCTGTATTTCCCCACGCATAAATAGCGGAAGGTCAATGGAAAGAGTCTCTTGTATCTCTGCTGCGCCGTTCCCATCCACGCTTCCTGGAATCCACATAATCCGTTTCATGGGTGACACCTTATGTTGAGGCCAAGAGAATTCCAACGTCCAACTGCCATGGGAAGTAATGGGTTGAAACCCACTCACTTTGATATGAGAGAAGACAAGACTGCGTGGTTGGCACGCACGAGTCCGAAATTCGTTTGGATTCAGATTTTCACCACCTGCGGACTCGAGTTGATTGCCTGACGCAGACTCCACTAGAAATACATAAGAACGCCTTGGATGCAAGAATTCCGCGTCTGTGTGGGCCGAATGACTCAAATGAACGGAATCTGAATAGAGGGAAGGTCCATCTGCGCGGCCCCGTTCACACGATGCCTGGCCAGCCGTCTGCACCCTCCTTTTCCAGCACGCTAAACGACTCGTAGGAGAGGAACACGCAGATCGCACCTGTCGAGGTTTAGAAGCCACACGGGACAAATGGGTGCAACCTCCTGTACCGCCATCTGTCGGCACGAATGCGACATCCTGGTTTTCTGCCAAACTCCAGGAATGTGGCTCCGCAAGCTCGGATTGTCCGTCCAGAGACATTTGCCCGGGCACCAACAACCCCGAGACGTCGCCGCTCTCCTGGCAGTAGACCTCAAACCCCACCTGCACCTCGCCCCCGCATGGAGTCATCGGAAACCAGTCGCCAGGATAATAGCACGATGCGCTGCCCCAAGGAAGCGCTTCATCGGCAGTGCGTAGCACAACGTGTATACCTCCCCGTGACATACTCGCGGCTTCCCCGCCGTGCAGAAAGGGAGAGCTGCTGGCCTTTTCGCGGAGAGCGCCCCACCTCCAATCACCAGCGATGGGAATGACAATGTGGAGGGAGTCGAGTCCCAGCGTGCGTCCTGCGGAGAGGAAGTGTGCGGAATCCGCAGAAGATGGGCGTTCAAATTGCATCGCATCTTCCTTCTCCATCGGGAGAGGCAGGAGTGGCTCCGTTAAGAGCGAGCAGCTATCCACAGTAAGCTCCGCAACCAACGGGGCGTCGGCTATTGTGTCCGGGAGCCCACGCACTCTCACCGCTGTTACAATCAAGAAGTATGACAACTCCTGGTGCCGCTCGCCGCCTGTCATCCCCGCTGACGCCCCTCGTACGGCACCCATTGCAGTCCTTTTAATGGAAGAGGAGAGGGAAGGAGGAAAGGATAAGAAAACGGCGTGCTGCTGCGTTCTGTGCGTTTGTGTTTGAATTGCGGCTGGGCACAAGAAAAAAATAATGCACTCACTCTCCTAGGCACTCTCCGTGTTTGTAAAATGCTTACTTACCCTGTGCGTATGTGTGTGTATTCTTTTCCCCTGCCAGACTCCACAAAAAGTGCAATGCAGGCAATGCAGTGCAGAAAAATCAAAAGGTGATGCAAAATAAAAGTAAATAATTTCCCCTTGACACGTGAATCTCCACATGGAATGACGTCATGGCACACAGACAGACAGAAATACAGAGATAGAGTAGAAGACAAAGTCCCACATCCGCTGCTGGAAGAAGAAGAAAAAAAAAAAAAAAAAAAAAGAAGAAGAGAGATATTAACTACATGTCACATGACGGCCAGATAAAAATAACCGTCAATGTGTTCTATGCACGGAGTGAAGCAAACAAACAAAAAAAAAAAAAAAGTACATGCGAGCACCTTCTATATACATCGTAAATGAGGAGCCCAAACAAACAAACAAACAAAAAATTGGCGGTGTAAATTCTCCTCTACCTCCCTTTCCTATTTATGATATCGTGCCGCCGCCTGCTTTTATCTCCCCTTTTTTATATCTCCGTCACACGGCTGTCACCGCGGAGGCCAAAACAGCAGCCCTCAACCAAAGCGTCGTTGATCAACACATCGTACACCGCTTCAAAGCGCACATTCATATGTTCCTTGAATGTCACAGAGATCTCACACACACCGGGCTGGCCGCCTCGCGTGGCGCCAGGAATGGTGCCTTGCATTGGAGTAATGGTGAAGCGCTCCGTGTCTTCCACGACGACATGTTGTCGCTCCTCCTTTTGTCGCACTGTTTGTTTCTGTGGGCGGCGGCGTTGTTGTTGTTGTTCCTGCTCCAGCTGCATCGGTTGCGGGTTCTCGCATTCGGTGCTACAAAAATCAACACCAGTGCTGTCCATTTCTGTCTCACTCTCATCCTTCTCGCCATCACCACCTTTAGCACCACCATCGCCCTCATCTTCCATCCAGTAGTTTGCTACCTCTTTGATATGACGCTCGCGGGTAAGGAGCTGTGTGGCCTCTAGCGCGGTGCTCCTGGTGTAGGCATGCGTCCCTGCAACGCCCTCATCAAAAGTTGCGGTGGTGGCGGAAAAAAATTCTGCAAAAATTTGACAAGACGGAACAATCACAAAAGTGACTGCGGATGCGTAGGAACTCAGCAACCGTATTTTCTGTGCATATGACGGCTGCGGTCTGCCATCGTGCAGCAGTTGTCCCGGGCGAAACCACAATATGGAGGGGCTACAGCGCACCGACGGCGAAGAAAAGCTAAGGATGATGGGAATAGTCTGCGTCACCTCCTGCACTGGGGGCGGGCACAAGGCATGGGCCTCGCCGCCCTCGTGTGCTGTTGATTCCTTGATCACCCCGTCGGAGGGGAGGTACATGATGCTCAATGCTCCCTGCACAATGCTGCTGCCTCGCATCATGGCGTGCACCTCCTGCTTGGATGGCTTGCAGTACTCCAACTGCACCTCCAACGCATCGTGTGGGTGCAATCGATACTTCGTGACGGTCACAAAAGCGGCATCGCCACTCCGCGTGTGACTCCTAGCAATGCAGTCAACATTTGCCATTTTCACTTCTGTTATTGCCATGTCCCCAGAATGCGGTCGTTTCACTGCTCTCAAAACCCGTTGTGAACTCTGCCGCTCCTCGCGGGTGACCCATTTCAACGCCGCGATTGCCCACCGCTTTCGTGCTTCCTCCTCATCATCCACTTCCATGAGTTCTTCATCGGTGTTCTTTGAAATGTACCGTGCGGACGCCACTATAAATGACGAGGAGGGCAAATCCAAGATAAACTCCATCGCCGCACAGCCCAGATTGTTCAACCGCACAGTTTGCACACATGGCGCATCTTCCACGTATTGGGGGAAGTGAATAACATCGCCAGAGGGCTCAACGGTCAGTTGTGCAACGCCACAGCGAGCACGCACCTCAAGCTCAATAGGAATAAAGTAATGTCGGCTGTGCTCCGCCATCTCCAGTTTCCGCTGCTCCATAAAAGCATGCAAGGCCTTGCGTTCCTCCTCAATGGCAAGAATGACCTCCAGCGGTTTTTCGGAAACAAGCGTCTCATCCTGGTAGTCCTCCTGCGACTCCTCGTCGAGGCTTGTGTCCTCCCCTTCATCTTCCTCCCCCTTGTCTTCGCTCCCTTTCGTACAACTGCTGCGGCTGTTATTCTTTTGGCTCTGGTTACCCATGTTGCTTTTATCTTCTTCGCTCATGAAGGTGCCGCAACTCTGCGATTTGCTCATGGCGAAGTGTTTCTTTACCACCGTCAGCTCCCCTGGCGTGGCCAACAAAATCGCATTGTTCTTCACCACCCCGGGTCGCGATATGAGGGGCTGCTGAACGTTCAGCATCATAATGGGACGCACGATACTTCGCATCCACTTCGGCACCGATTCCCGCAGCCGCTTTCTCTTCATGACACCACCTCTCACTGGGTACCGCGCGGCGTGAAGGCGGTAAAACTCATTAATGAGGAATCCGTCATTAAAGGGAGTGTCAGCAACTTCGGCCGTGATGATGACACCACCACGCCACTCGCGCTCGGAAGCACCCTCCTTCGGCACAAATGTCGCATCCGGGGCGTACTCAATGATGACTTCCCGTGAAGCCAAGGCGGGCAAAAATAAATTTTCCGGGGACGCCGCCACCTTCCCTTTCCCCTCCGACTCACGTTGTTGCTCCTCGCCCGAGACAGGCTGAAGTTGCAATGTCACGGCAGCCGCATCCACCTCCTCATCCACGGCAACCACTGAAAAGGTCGCCGTGGTGAGAAAAATCTTCACCGACACCGTCAAATCACGTGGAATGCGATTAATAAGAACCATACTGCGCCTCGATCGCCCAACACCAGCAATGACTGCCGGCATGCGCATCAGTGCCCTGCCACCCAAGACCGTGAGCCCAGCTGTGTTGGAGTCAAGCACCACCGGTTTCCCACTCAGCTCCAGCGTTAGTGGAATGTGTGTGTAGGGCAATTTACCACAGCGTACCCGCAGTGTCTCTTCATATCTTCCAGGAAGGTTGGAAAAGATGGACAGAGGCACCTCTACTGTGGCATTTGGATGAAGCGGACCAACCGGGGTGTTGCCAAACATGGTGGCACAGCCACGCCCATCCAGTAATACTTTCTGAGCGTCAAATAACATGGCCCGCCGCTCCCGCTCCATCTGCTCCGTTCCGTCAATCCCCTTGCACCAAAACGCCCGTTCAACATTACCTATAGAAAAATTCAAATCTGACTCTCCAGTGCGTTCCGTCCCACAAGAAGAATCAAGGCCCAATTGACGTCGACGTTTTCTCTCCCTACCCTTCCCAGAATGACATCGCTTCCCTGGCAACCGTCCACTGCAAACTGTCGTTGTAGACGTTGTTGCTGCCGTTGCTCTCACGGCGTGAGACTCCCCTTTCGTACTGATCCCTGTCAATCCCTCTAAGAAACCCTTCAACGAATACCGCATGGCCTCCACCGTGTAGGAACCATGGCAACTGCTCTGATTGCTGACCCGTAACGCCAACAACTCGGACCACACGGGTTCCTTGTCCGGCAAGTATGATTTCAACAGCACAGGTGGGCAGTACGAACGCAAAACCGCGGGTTGACGCTCTATTTCATTGAGCTCACTCACATCCGTCACTTTACTCTCTGAGCAGCGTGCATCCTCATCCATCACAGACTGTTCCACAAGATTCCACAACAAGGCCTCGAGGAAGTGAGCAATTTCCATTGTTGGTGGCGGTGGGAGATTACATGACAAGACGGGCGGGGTGTACGCCATGCTGCCGGGCCCCTTTTCCGCCTTTGGGACAGGAATGAGGTCAATTGCAGCGCATAGCTGCTGCACCCTCTCACAACGAAGCTCCACAAGGAGTTCCTGCCGTGTGCGGGTGTTTTTGATGACCATTAGGGCCTCTTTTTTCCCCTCCCCTGGATGGAATTCAAACGCACAACGAATAGGAATATGAATACCCTGATATCCCGCTCGAACCACGCCAGGTGGGGGCGCAATGATATTGATGCAAGGTGGCACCACAACGAGCTCAAAAACGTAGAAAAAATCAAAGGCAGATGGGTTGGAAACAACAACGTCTTGCTCCACCCATGCACCTTCCGGCACAACACCAAAGTCTACCACCGCCCCTTCCAGGAAGAGCGAAGGAGCCTGAATGGTTGCATGTGTTTCAATCGCCAGCGTATCGCCGCCTCGCACCATTAATTCAAAAAAAGCCTGCGAGTCGTCCAACTCCACCGCCTGGCGGTAAACCGTCACCTCCACCGACTCCCCCGCACCAAGACGGGCAGAAGGGGGAAGAAATACAAAGCGGCCCTTCTCCTGCATGATTGGATCCTGGAGCTCAAACACAATAGCAATCGGGTTGTCATTCGACACCGTAAAGGATGCCTCAGCCTCAGCTCCTAATTCAATAAGGCCAAAGTCCAAGCAACCCGTGCTCACACTTACGGAGGGGCCAACGCCAGTCACGCTAAGGTACAGTTGATGCGTGCAGTAAAGTTCCGTCGTCGGTGGCGTTTTTATCATTCCTGTTTGTGTTGGTGGCGGTGCCGTTGTACCCTCCGTAACACTTGCAGTCGACGTGGTTGTGAGCAGCTCCATCAGTTCTGGAATGTAGCAGTCAAAAACAAAAATATGTTGGCCCACTTCTCTCAATGTAAACTGGAACAAAACCGTTACACTGGCGTATGGCGGCACGCACCCTTTTCGAGGTTCAAATCCGACGTCCACAAATTCACGGTCGCGTCTCGAAAGTACTACCTCGGGAGGACATTCATCGGGATTCGGGTCCAGGCAGAAATGTAGCGGCCGCGGAGAGTTGTTCTTCATGGTAATGCGCCGTAAATTCCTGCAGTTCACAAGACACTCCACTCCCTCCTCCAGGTGATCCGGGATCATCACCAGGGATGGTGTGACGGGATCGGCAAAGAGGTAAAACCCCATGGCAAAAACACCAGAACAATCTTTTGGCTGCTCTCGCGTCCATCGCTGAAACACGCTGTAGGGATCTGACATCGTTTGGATCTCCTCGGCAGCGAGCACGGCAGGAATAGGCCTGCCACGGACATACAGATCCGACACCGCCGCTTCTTCTGCAGCAGACGGCATGGGAAGACCCTCTAAAAAAAGATTCAGCACAGCAGCCAAGGGCTGGGCCGTAGCAGGCCTCAAGCAGACGAGAAAAACGCTTTCGTTCTCTGGAGGCAATACGCCGGTGGCAGGTGTCACACTCAACTGAACTCCTCCCAATGGACTCCCACCACCAATGCTGTCCGTCCTCCAAAAGTACGGCACCCCGATGGGACCACTGTTGTGTACTACCACCAATACTTTCGTTTCAACACCAGGCGCTGTGCCAGGAACCATGTACTGCGGCACACTAGCATCCTGCTCTGGCGCACTTAGCTCCAAAGTCCCAACACGCACAAGATCAACACGAGGCAGGACACCCTCTCCGCAAAGCCTGAAACGCTGCTCAGAAATGACGGGCCCTTCCTCTAATTCTCGCACAGTTACAATCAGCTCTTCGGCATCGTAGCGCATCTCTTTTATGGGGACAAAGGAGACATTGATCTCAACGCGATCCCCGCCAGACAAAAGTATAGCTTTCTCAGTCGATGGGTCAATCTTGAAGCATGGAGAGGTGCTGTTCAGCGTGACCATGGCAACCGAACCGGTGTTTTCAAGGTAAAATTGCCTTGAGCACGTGTCCATAACATACGTGTATGGAAACTCAACTGTGGTCACAGCTTGTTCAGGCATTTTGGGGCAGTGAGACCTTTTCCCAGTTGAAGGAATTGCAGTAGAATAAACGGACCCCGTCTCCCCTTGGTGATTGATGGGAATAAGAGAGAACTGTGGCAAAACCGTTTCGCAAGTCACATTAACCTCAAAAAAATGCCATTTTTCCCCCTCACCACTGCGAGAATTCAGTTCCCGGCAGTGCCCGAGCCGCAGCACCTCCTTCACTAAAGGCTCGGTTGCGCTTTGTGGCTTAAATGTGATACGTACTTCAACAAAGCCGCCACATCCAAGAGGTTCGCTCGGTGCTATGCGAGTCATTGCAGCAGAGGCCAAGCAGGAGGACGACGATGACGACGGCGGCGGCGGTTTAACGGAAGAAAAAGTTGAAGGTGATGCCGGCGAAACCCGTCGGTCCACGGAGGATTTCACCATCGAGTATGTGATCCATGCATGCTTGGAGGGAGGAATTCGCACGCGAAGAAGATTGGGTTCGCGATTGATGAACCGGACAGTTGTGCTTACCTCCGCACCCACTGTCGTCCGTAACTTCACGCGATTGTTTTCCGCAGAGCACTCAATATAAGCAAAACGACCGGATCTCGCCTTGGTTTTAAAGAGTAAATGATGCGATTGGTAGCCTGTAGTCACCTTTGGTACACTTCCCGCCTCTCTCAATCCTTTCGGCATTATTGTACCTGTTCTTGGCGTTGCCGCAATGGCGACGCCATCCGCGGTCGTATTTGCAGTCGGGGGAGGAGAAGAAAAACGCGAGAGAGCGTCAGAGTCCGCAACTCCACCATCACCTTGATGAATAATGGCGGGAAGCGGCACGCTAACTTTTCTCTCATGTGTGGTATGTACAGAACGAGAACGAGAACGAGGCACAGCTGCTCCCTCGTGGGTCGACACTACGGGCGGTAGCGTGAGACTCCATGAGTCCCCAACACTCATCAAATCCCCGGGTACGTGTGTAAGAAGTTTGCTCTTCAGTTGACAGATTGTCATATTGGCGGTGGTTGTGGCAGTCGTAGTGGTGGTGGCAGCAGTGGTGGTGGTATTATCTGCCTTATCCTCGGCCGTGGACAGGACGGGACGGAAGCCGTACTCCTTCTCCAGTGAGGCATTAAGATCTCTCGCGAAGCCAACGGCGTCGATGGTGAACTCACACTCGGTGTCAAGGGTATCTGGGCATCCAGAACGTGCCAGCAGGACTGGCGCATCCGTTGTAGGAGTTCCAGTGGAAACAACAGTCACAGATCCCTCTTCAGAAACCGCGTCTTTGCCGTGAAATTCATCACTGGTAGCATCCGCCAAAGTTGATTTCCCTCTAGAAGCCATCCCCGGTACCCCCTGCAAGATTTCCTCCATCATGTACTCGTCAATACTTCGGGCAGTAAAAAAACGTAGTTGTCGGCGCGCGAGAGCCCGCCGTCGGTCCGCCTCCTCGCGCGCATTTTGCATCTGCTGTTTCATGTCATGTAAGCTGCGATACCAAAATTCCCCCTCTCTTGCCAATTTCATGGCAGCCTCCTTCTCCTTGATTAATTGGGAAAAGCCGCTGGTGCCTTTTGCAGTCCCTCCAGCCGTCCCAGCCGTCCGCTCCGCCGCACCCCGCTTGGGTTGGGAAGAACCGTACTTTCTGGACCGCGCCGTATCTTTCCTTTCGTTATTCATCACCTTCGGCTCCGCGTTCGCGGAAGGGGCTAATGTACTCTCGGCTGACACCTCACGCATCCGCTGCAGCTCCGCCTGAAATCTCTTCTCCTCTTCCTCCTCTAGAAGCTCAAGATCACGAAGTTCATCCGCAAAAAGCTCCAAAGCCTGCCCCACCCACGCAGCGTCCAGCAACGACTCCTTCAGGCGATCAGCGGCATCCATTTCTGCCTCACTGCTTGACCGTTGCTGTTGCAATTGACAGGCACGTGAGACACTTGTGGAATCCCTCTCCTAACGATCACCAACTGCCCTTCCCTTTTTCTCGTCCCTCGCTTCCTCTTCTTCTTCTTTCGCTGGCTCGTGCAAACTCACTCCAGCAGCTCCCCGGGCATCCGGCAAAGACATGCACGCAAAAATAAAGAGAAAAGCACAAAAAAAAGGGGAAAAAAGAAACGGTAGATTCCAAATAGACGCGGACTACAAATGGAGGTCATTGCAGACAAACAAAAAAGAAGAAAAGAAAAAGAAAAAAAAAAGAGTGGGTGTGTTGGGCGGCAGAGTGCACGGCTTCTCCTCTTTTTCCTCCCCGCCGTACAGGCGGAGCCGTCACACACACACAGAGAGGGAGAGAAAAAAAAAGAAAAAAAAAACTACAGATAGAAAAAAGGTAATGATCTATGGTGGTGAGAGGAAACGGCGAGGGGCTCAAGCAACCCGCACACACTCACAGACACAAGGAAAGGACGCAGATGCAGCAACCCTCTCACAAAGACGGCCGGCCAGTCGTCGCGGAAAAAAGGACTACAATAATAAACACACACACACACACACATACATACACATAAATACCTACATATATATATATATATGCAGATGTATGAAAAGAAAGCCGTAAACAATGAAAAACATGAGGAACGCTTAACAAAAAAAAAAAAAAAAATGGTCAGAAGCCTCTTCCGCTACCGCAGCAATGCAACAACAGCATCAGCATCATCCGCAAGCGAAAAATGAGGCCAACAGGCAAACAGAAGCAAAATCACCCACTTCCTCCTTCACGTCCTTTTTTTTGTTTGTGTGTTTGTGTGTGTGTGTGTTCTTTGTTTTCGTCTCCTTTTCCATCCCTTCACATAATCCCAGACCCCATGGCTCGCTACGACATCAAAAAGTACTCCTCTTGAGCGTCAATCAAGTCTGCAACAGCAACTTGAAATCTCTCAACGCTCTCCTGCAAACGCCCCAGCATCATTTGAACTTCCCGTTCCGCGCTCGTGGAAGCCGTTGCCTGACTCTTAGACACCCCAGACTCCCCAGTGGCGCTACCGCAGTCCGTGCCATCCCCTTTCGAGGGGTTTAAAAGATCATCCAAAAAGTATGCATCCGGCATTCCAGCCGCCTCCTCCGTCACCATCTGTTTTGCCGCCGTGGGGGTTTGTCGTTCCTCTTCTGAAAATGTTTGCAGCTGCTCCTCCAAGCCCTGCCAAGGAATATGGGTAAAGAGGCAGTCCATGTCGCGTTGCACACGCGAACGTACATGTGCCTCGCACAATACGAAGCGACTGTCCACAGCCTCAGAATGAGATACGGGAGGTGATACTGGTGGTGGTGGTGTGGGTGGCTGAGCAGATGCATCTACTTGCTGCGCCCACTTGACTGGAGTGGCGAATCGCCTGACGATGCAAGTGCATTGCGTCAAAATCATCGCCGCCCAGTCAAGAGCACCGCAGGCTCGCTGAATGTGCTTCTCAGCTAGTGCAGAACGAGCCAAAACGGCAACAAGGGGCGAGTCAACCTGCGCAGCGGCACGCTGCCTAGCGATGGAAATATGCGCCTGCCGCGTCTCTGCTTCAAACGGCAGTCGAGTATGACGAAAGATCTCAGGGAAGGCCTCAAGGGGAATCAGTCGAAGACGCATCTTCCTCGGTTGTCGGCGACCAATGCATTGATACACGCGCTGGCGAGGCCGATAGAGGGCGATACGGTCAAGATAGAGTTGAAGGTCCGTCTCTGCCTTCAACCGTCGCTCTCTGGATTCACCTTGCCCTGCAGCCATCTCGTATTCCCTCGCCAATTGCACATGTTGTCTCATAGAGGCCTCCACGTGGCGCAGCACGTCTCCAAGGGCCTCTGCGGTGAGACGGACAAGAAGGGATACACAGAGCCACAGAACAAGGGGCTTCGTGCATGCATCCTCCTCCTCATCTTCTTCTATGTTTTTTTTTCTTTTATCCAGCAAAGATGGTGACAACACCACCTCCGATGCCGCTGCGCCTAATTCACTTCCCTTCAAATCTTTCAGTGGTGATGATGATGATGACAATGCATCAAAGCTTGTTGCCCCAGACATGCATTTCGCGTACTCCACCAACATGGGCTCATCCAGCATCAACGTGTAGCGTAGAAAGAGGTACTTCGAGGCGTACATGGCAGAGCTAACGGGATTCGGCAAATTGTATGGGATCCTCCATCCGTGAAGCTCCACGGCAAGTGAGAGAAAATCAGTGAGGTCAAGAAACAGCTTCCGTCTTGTTAGCCGTCGCACATGTTCAGGAAGCCGTGACCACACCTTGTCAACCAAAAAAGGTGCAGCATCGCCTATGTATTCCGCGAAGAACATCTGACATTGTTTAACGTCGCGGTAGAGTGAAAGTGCCGATGTGGAATTCTCCGGTAACCGTGTCAATCCTCTCACATAGGCGATACGTCGTAGGCAACGCAGCATCTCGAGGCACTCTGTGTGGCTGTAATCATAGTAGTGCTCCGCCGCCGCAATCGCAAGAGAGATGCTGACCGCCGGGTCCTCAACCTCTGCCGTGGCGAGTGCTTTGGCGAGCAACAGCAAAGAACGCTGTGGGATCCCAATGACAGAAACGCGCCCGACGCTTTGAAGCAGTCGTAGCACCTCACTTACACTTGTGGCCTCTCGATTCGTTGCCTTCCAACGCACGCTAAGTGACGTCTCCGTGGGTGATGACACGAGCGGACCGCGTGTGGCATCAAGCACGACGGAGGGAACAGTGTCCACTCCATTAAAACCTAAATTTACTTTCGGCACCGCTGTTCCCTTCCGCCGCCCACGTCCTCGAAAAACATAAAGCGGGATTTGCTCACCGTCCAACTCCACGCATCCAAGCAACCCTTCTTGTTTTCGTTCCTGCGACGGTAGCAAAGACCCCATGCAAGGCGCAAATGGGAGACAGTGCTCCGTCATAGCGCGGAGGCTTGGTGTCACAAGGCTCGAGGCCAAAATGTCATCCCCGAGATCCCACTGAAAGCGAATTTCTAAGAGGCGCTCAATTGTGCGGTCGAGGCCATCATCCCCAAACTGCGGCGCCGGTGGCTCCAACACATCTTGACGTTTTCTGCGTGTCCTCACGCCTCCAGTGGCACGTCCCCAAAACGGGGTCCACGTGCGCCGTCCGTCGGTCATGAGTCGCACAACGTTGTACGATGATATATTGCCGTCCGTCCGTGTAACCGGAGGAGAGTAAGAGGGAGAGCTGCGGTATTCGTTGCGGAAGTAGTTGGCGAATGGGCGTTTAGACTTCTTGAGATTTTTTCGGTCCGCCTGATGACGAGCGGCGATGCCAGCGTCAAGTTGCTGGTGCGGTGCCAATGCAGGGGCCAGCCATGGCAACCGTGGACGCCGCGGCGTTCGTGATGCAAGCCGCTGCATCGTACAACGGCAACTCATTTTTGTGTCCCCTGCAGCTGAAAAGCCGTCGTCGTTGCTATTGTTATTGTTATTCTTATTGTTGTTGCGGACTTGACTCCGTGTCTCTCGCTCCTGCGCCCCCTCCCCCACCGACCCTCCCGCCGCCCACGAACCCCCTTTCCTCCTTTTCTTCCTCTGCTGCTGTCAATGCGTTGGGTGTGTTTTTATTATTGCCGCCCATCATCCAATAAAAGGAAGGAAGAAAAAAAAGAGAGAGAGAAAGAGAAAAAAAAAACAGCTCTTGACGACTATGCAGGAAAAAAGCATGCGTCCGGTAGACACGCAGGCTTGAAGAGTGGGAAGGGAGTGAAAGAACCAAAAAGAAAAAAACTGAAGAAACTGAGAAAGGCGGAGAGAAATAAAAGAAGAGCCTACAAAAAAAAAAAAAAAAAAAATCGGTCGCAATGCTTGCTGGCACTGGAGAAGAAAGAAAGAACAATAATGATGCAGGAAGAGCACCTTCTCTCCAGAATAATCTTCCGGGCAGCTGGCCAGATCCTGAAATTATCTATGGAACCAAATAAGTTAGGAAAAAAGGTTCTTTAGTTAATTGCTTCAATGTTTTATTCTCATTCAATATATAGAATTCTGTGGACCACCAGCATGGTCCTTTGTCCTCAGCTGGGATTTACATATTATTACTTACGAACTGGCAGACTTTGGAGTCCTCCAACCACAAGACACCGCCGCTCCCCTTCGCAAGTCCTGAGGTGCAAAAACACACGACCGCGTGATATGTCGTCTGCGGGGTTTTGCGCTGGCCGCACGTACGCAAAGGATGCCCGCACTCCGCGAGAGTCAACAAACTCATACATCCGTCGCAGCTCCCACGTCATGGAGTGTGATTTCAAGCTGCCGTTATTCGCCGCGAAGTATTGTCCACCCAAACGTCCATGGTGGATGGCAAGATGGCGGAAAAGGCCGAAAAGGCTAAGCGTACCGCGCGTGCCTCGGCCTGCATGATAAGAAAAGACTTCTTCTTCCATTTCCCTCCGGCAATTTTGACGTCGCCGAAGTCTGGAACGAAAACGGCTCCCCAACCATTGAGTGACGCATCCTTGATGATGGCGGCCGATGCCTTTTCCGCGGGCTTGATGATTCGCTTACGATTGTTCCCGATAATGTGTCGTAATCTCTCATCCAAACCAACCGCTGACGGCGGAAGGTTCGCCGGGGATGTCTCCCGCACAATCCTCCGGTGAAGTGCGGACAATCGGCGTCGCCCTGCCTTGATAAAAAAGTGGTAGTCGCATAAACGCGTGCCAAAAATGGCAGCCGCGTACAAAAAGCGTGACGCCATAACCTCCATTTCCGCGATGGTTGAAGAATTGAGCGCCGGCATGGCGCATACAGACCGGACAAGCTTGTCACTCAGGGATACCGCCCGGTGTGTGTGATCAAACTGCACCCACAGAAAGGTGTACTGCGTAGCGCCCGATTCGCGGTCCTCCCCCATGGATGCGTGACGGCAGTCCGCATTACGAAGCGCTTGGGCTTCCCACAATGTCGC